CCAACAACCACAATATGTTATCAAGGTTATTTTACAATGATGAATAAAATGACACGTCATTGTCCAGGATATTGGGTTTGTTTAACAAGGTGTAGTAAGCACATTCCCATATCTTGGACTAATTCAAAGAGGACAGAAATCTGGAGGGAAACTTTCAGTCACATGATGAATGTCATGGTACTTAAAAGTAAAAGATAATTATTTAATGGACATCATTATATGAGCAAGGAATGAATTATGATTAATGTTTTTTTTTGCCTTGTCCTTGTGTTTTGGTACAAATGGATCTAAGCATAAGATCTGATTAATAAATGTTTGCCTGAGAAATTTTATTTAAATGGATACAATGCATTAGAAAAGAAGTTATCTAGAGAAAAATTCAGAATGAGTCAGAAAGTATGTGTTATGGGATATCACTTGTTTTGCATTTACACATTATATTTTATAACATGTACAGACGCAAAGTCTGGAATATATTGTAAATATCTTAAATCATTCTGTTTAAACTATTTCAAAATATTTTTTTACCGGGCTCCAGAAGCTTTGAAAATATCTGCCCAGTGATCAGGATTGTAAAATTCAGCAGTAAACTGAGCAGCAAAGTCAGCATATGTGAAGCCTGGTGGGTAATTTTTCTTCATAAAATCCACTATTTCTTGCCTGGGTTGTGGTCCCTGCCACCAGTACCAAAACCATGCTCCTACATAACTGGGAACTGAGAAAACTCCCCAGTGAATAAAGATACCAATTTTGGCTTCATCGTACCACTCAGGGATTGGCCTGGCATCTATAGATTTCCAGTCGGGTTCATATCGTTTGACATGGTTTGCCACATTGCTGTATCCATTGCAAGTCCATAATACTGAAAGTATTGTAGCCAGGCTGAACAATGAGCATGCTGAGTTAGGCTGAAGCATTCTTCTAAAAATTAATCAGCATCTCTCTACATTAGGAAATGAATCTGAAACAATTTGATTATGTAGTAAGAAATAGGTTTCAGGACAGTCCTACTTATTTAATCTATCCTACAGCCCAACCTCACCATTTTCCTAAGTAAATATTTAGGTGAGGCTGTAATTTTGGAATAAACTCATGTACCATACAAGCCAAATCTTTTTCTGATCTGCTGTCCAGAGAAACTATCTATGTCCAGGCCCTGAGCCAAGAAAGGTTGCTGAGACTACTAAAATATAACATATTTTAGTGGCAAACATTATATCCAATCATGGGCGGCCGCAGAAAACTTTCGGGGGGGGGA